GAGCGTGTGAAAAATACTTTTGAATCGTTTTTGGAAGTTTTTTGCTCATAACTGACAGTTGAGATGATACTTAAGGCAGTCAAAAAGTTATTACTTCTAAAAAGGATCTGTTTGGTTAAGATCAAGAATATCCTAAACACTCTGGTATCATCGTTTGAAAGCTCAGACGCTGGCGGAGAAGAATCTGTCATCTGAATATCTTCAAGTCAGAAAAAAGTGAGCTTTTCTCATCGAGATGCCCAAACCGACAGAGATTCAGTAAAACGGTTATAGCTCGAAAAGTAAATATCTGCCCAAGCTGATTTAACAACTGGATTCAGCACACTTTCGTTACAAAATGGCAGCAATTAGTGATTTTTGTTCGGTTGTATTAAAAACATTTCATTAAAGGGGTTCGTTTTTTTTGGCGTACCTCTGCCTGTTTGAACATCTCGATGAGAAAGCATCGAAGATCATATAAAGACAGGTTTTCCTTTAAATAATAAAATCCGTGGAAAACCGTGGAAGGGCTATAAAACTCATCTGAAATCTTTTTTTGTACCTACGATCGGCATTTTTTTTCTGCCAGATAATCTCTTTATTTATCATCTTAGCTGTCAGTTATGAGCAAACAAACTTCGAAAAACGGTTCAAAAGTATTTTTCACACGCTCTTTTCAACAATGTATTTGAATTCATTATTTATCTACTTTACAAAAGCAAGTTGAGTTTATAATTTTTAAAAGTTAATATAATAATTAATAAAGTGAGACATATACGTTAAGTTTTATTTTCAAAATTGCAGCTCTAATATTTTTCTCTACAAGTTACTATCCTTGAAAAATTTTTAGAATCCAAACTATTTCTGGCAAAAATTACTTACTGTAAAAAGTAGTGGAAAAAACCGTGATTTTCTAGAAATCCTTCTTGAAAATAAAAAGAGGCCATATGACAGATTATCATTCAAAACCCTTATAATACGAGATTATGACATTTGGTTAAGGGGCTCCAGGCTTAAACACGAGTCAATCTTCTCATCCAACATGTCTGTTAGACTTCTTTTTGTTTTTGAACTGGTTTTACCTCGCTTTTTGTCTTCAAAAAACCTTTGAAAACTCTTGAAAGTCTTTTGGCATGCCGTTAGAATAATATAACGGTAGCGCTGATTGTATTTTTTTGTTCTGTTTTTTTTAGAATACAACAAATACAATTACTCGGTCGAGATCTCAGAGGTCCATATCACGAAAAACTGTGGAATCAGTTAGAAGCTGAAATTCATCTACATCGTCATAAAACAGTTATACGTGCTTGCAGAGAAAGACAAGTGGCAAAAAAAAATTTATTTATGCCTCCTGGGCACGTAAGTTCTGGACATATAACAGTACTTTGAACAATTATCTAATAAAACGTCTGACATTGTTAAAACGAATTGTAGAGATTTACGAAACGTCTTATTTTGCAAGAAAATGTTTGCTGCGTATAGTTATATAAGTAGAAAAAAAACTAAAATATGACAGAAAAATACTTGAACGCTTTAGCAAACTATTCTCGACAGTTAGTCGACAACTGTCGCAACGGTTATCAAGTATAGTTATGGGTTTTTACTAATTTTTCCAGATCATCAGAGTTATTTTCATTTACATACGATTATAATTCAAACATTTCTCTACAAAGTCTGACATTTTCTGATTCTGTGCCGTTTCTACTTACTAAGTTATAAAATTTTTCTTGATTACCTCAAAGCCAGTTCTATAACTGGCATATGTCATACAGCTCCTCTTATTTGTATTGTTTCAAGTATCATCAAACATTGTCTTCATCTAATTTAGGACTTTCAAACTCTAAAAAAACGTCAAGGAGTTGGTGAATTACGTATAGTGAATTTAACAAAAGATCCAAAAGAAGCTTTAGGAATTTCTATCACTGTAGGCACTTCTGCTTGCTGATCTCCTAACTTTTTTGTTAATAAGTGTTATTTTTGTTTTAGGGTGGTAAAGAGCATGGTCTACCTATTTTAATTTCAGAAATTCATCAAGGAGGAGCAGTAGATCGGTGCGGGCAGTTATATGTGGGTGATTCCATATTAGCTGTGAATAGTATTAACCTGAGAGATGTAAAACATACGGAAGCTGTGCAAATTTTATCAAGCATTGTGAGTTGAAATGATTTACTTTATTTTGTAGTTCTATATTTTCATTATCTAGTTGTGTTTGTGCTAATTTAGTTATGACATATTTTGTTCATATAAAAGGAGAATCGAAGCTCTCTTACTTTTTTCACGTTTTATCAACATAAATTCTTTTAAATGCAAGATGTTAATTCAAATGTTTTCTTTATATATTTTAGAAAAGTGATATAACAATGAATGTGGTTTTTGTTGCACCCGATAACGATAGTGATACTGAAGAATTGACTAATTTAACCGAGAATAATTTAAAATATAAATTTATTTCGAATAAAACCGATCATAGTTACGAAACATCTCATCCACGCTGTAAACAACAATCAACATCAAGTGATCACAACAACAGTCATAGTGAGAATTCGAATCGAACAATTGTTAATGGCTCTAATGATAGTTCAAAGCTAAAAGCAACATTGGAACAATCATCGAACGCCAGTGAATCAAACACCAAGTAAGATAGAAACACAACTGTCACATTAGTATTGATTATTTGTTGTTTTTACAGAACTGGAGTATCTGTGATTGATCGATATCTTAAGTCGACTAGACAATATTTACCATTAAAACGAACGGATTCTACTTAAATATATAATGTAATAGTCAAATCAAATAATGTGCAACAAATTGGGCTTAATATTTTTTATATTAGAATAATTGAATGTCTCTGAGACATCATGAAATTTAGAATAGCGGAGAAAAAGGAGGACATGATCTCAACGTATAGTTTATAAGAAAGAAACTCTTTTTCTTTTTATAAACAACTTTTTTCAACGATCTGACTAGGCTTAGCAATCGAAACAATTTCTTGTTTGATCGAAAGCGGCTAATATTTTATTCGAAACAGTGTTATAGACTCTTATAAGGGTTTTTGAATTTTTGTGTAGGTGTTATCGTTCTGTCTCTCTTGGTTTTAGCTAAACTTCGAATGTTAATCGTGTTGGTGATAATTGCGGAGCAAATTCTCTAATTTTCTGTTGTACTTCTCTTATTTTCGTTTTTTCTTTCAATATTTAGATATTGAAAAAAATCATTAATGTTTTCTTTTATAAATAATTTATCGGTATGATTATGTTATTTTAAACTTTAAACATTTTTTTACTTTATGTGTTTTCTGATCTTTTCTCGATATAGTTTAATTCTTAGTACAAGTGAACTACTGTAAAAGTGAAAAGCAGAATCTAGAGTGTGTTTGAAGCCTTATATTTTTGCAGATGCAATACGTTTGTTCGGAAAAAGCATTGAGGAATCTTTTTCCGACAATTTTAGTTCATATAAATGTTTTTTTCTGTATTACTGTCACTGTCGCGTTATAAAATAGAATATGATCGGTTATTTTAATAATTTTTAATTAATGCAATTCAGAAGAAGATTTTGTTTCCAGCATATCCTGAAAGCCTGAGTCATTTTTGACGGATATAAAGAGTTTTATTGTGTACAATGATGATGCTACAAAAATTCAATATGAAAACAAGCTGTGTCAGGGTTTTCAGCGTGATCATTCTCAACTATTTTGAGGTTAATCAATTTTTTAAGCAACTTATTAGGCAGATCCTATGAAAACTGCTATTGTTATAAACTTTATTAAATACGATAAAAAATACATTGAAAACTGCTATTTCGACATTGACTTTGTTTAGGTTTGTAGACAATATTCCGGGCTATCAAACTATAAAAGGAAATACGTACACGTCTTCTAGTCCGATCGGGACATATGGCTCGTTTTGACAAGATATATTGTCCGAACAGGCAAGGAGCATCTTCAGTCAAGTTTTCACATTTTTTTCTCGCAAATCTTCAGCGCAAAAATGTAAGCAATGATGCATAAAGTGACTTATTCTACTAGTGTGAGGAAAAAGAATGAGCATCTTCCAGGGTTTTAATCGAATAATATGCCTTGACCGATCAGCCAAGAAGCTCTATTCTAGACGTTAACATGTACTATTTAAGTAAACAAATTTAGTTTGGATGAATTTATTATAGAAATGAAAAAAATTTTTCTTCTCGTACAAGTCTTCATATGAAAAGCAACGTTTGCTATTTTGACTTTTGGCATCTTCTAGTTTTTAAAGTATAAATGATAGTCTGTCTTGTTCATTTTTAGACAATGCAAATGCGGTTTGCGATAATATAGTACATACTAAATGGAGCCGTGTCCTGTAAATTACAGTTTATCAATGATCACAATTCTTTTTATATTTAATCTTCTTATTTACTTTACATAAAAAGAAACATTCTAGGAAGGCTTCGAACGCATACAAATGTGTATAAAGTACAAATAAATGTATTATATTATTTATATGTTGCCTGTTCTGGTAAGATATATTGCTGATCGCAATATATCTTACCTTACCTTACCAAATCGGAAAAGATAAAATGAACGATATTGAACTAAATTTGTTTTTCGTTTCTCCCATGAGAAAGGACGAAGGTTGGACACATAATTTTGATACACAATGAATATAAAATGAGCGAGAAATAGAGTAAATACTTCTCGCTCGTTAGAGGACCTATGGTTTTCGATACGGTATCTTGCGCGATCGGGCAATGGTATCAGAGCACCCAGGGAAATTGTTATAATGTGGTTATTAAGATTTCCCTTGACCTTTCAAATGTCTCAGTTTGTAGAGAAATCATTTTGTGGAGAGATCTATCTATTTGCATGGAACATAATATTAGCGAACAAAAATGATGTTTTTAAATGAGTTAATGAGAGATACGAACAATCATCGAGACACCATATTATAGCAATTTTCCTCTGGGTGCTCTGATACCAGCTATATAACTGGTGCATACCTAGATACATTATGTTTCTTTTTACCGATTTGACGGCAGTTTTTTACTTGAAAACTATAAAAAATGCATGTTTCTACCATTTTTCGTTCAAAAGTTATTCAGAAAACAACCGATGACATTCAGTTTTTGAATTGATAGTCAGTTGAAGATGACGTCATTCTGTTAATATTGTCATTGAGATTGTTTGTGCACAATTCAGCCGATCCGTTATTGCCCGAGTAGATAAAAATCGTTTTTTTAATTAAAAAATACCTTTGTTGACATGTCTCATATACAAAATAGTAACATAACATCTTATAGATATAGAAAAACAGATCAAAAATACAAACCGAAACACAAATATGGAAAAAACTTACAAAATATTATACAATCACCGGTAACATATAAAAAAAAAATCGTTCTTTATTCGAATTATATAAACGCCAATCAATAAAATTTTGTATACCTTCAACATCATCACGAGATATTTTTCTATCAAGAGATTTTGATTCACTCAATAAATCATCATGTGGTACCGATTTTCTAAGTGGAGGTTTTTCTATTAGAGAAGACGTGTTTATATCAAATGATCCAAACGATCTTTTCGTTATTGTTTTTGTTGGTGTTGTTACCGATACTATTTTATTAGACCATTTTGTATCTAATTGTTTAATCCATTCATAATCAAGTTTAATAGAATATTTTTCAGCATAATATTTTCCTTTTCTTAAACTCATTTTCCATGTATTTTGTTGTTCATTTGTAGATAATGATCTTGATAATGATTGTTGATATGTTTCTACTAATCTAGAAAAATAGGCATCATAAATATAATATCTTGGTAATAATAATTTTGATTCTTTTGGTAATAAATTTTTAGCATATGTATAAAGAAAATGATCTTTTGTTACTAATATAATATCTGAATTTTGTTTATATTTAATTTGATACCACCAATTTAATAATTGTACTTCAGCTAATTTAAAAAGAGCTCGTTGTACAGCAAAATCATTTAATGATAATTTTATATATGATAACATATTTAATGCATGATTAAAATGTTTAACAGATAATTTAAATTCTTTTATTCTTGAATATATTTGTGCTAGACAACAATCAACATAAAATAATAAAAATTGTTTATCATATTCTGATAATTTTTTACGATAATTTGATAATAAATTAATAAATTTTAAATTAATTGGTACAAGTTCATATCCAAATTCAATGGCTATATCGACAACAAGTATATAATACCATAATTTTGTATAATAATTAGATGTTTGATCACTAATATATTCAAGATGATTTAATATAATTTCAATATTTGATAAACGCATTTTAAATAAAAGTGAATAAGTTAATTGAATTATTGTTTCAACAAGAAATATATTTTCATGAAAACCGGTTAAAACTCTTTTTGAAAAATAACCACAAATAATTGAACGTTCAATATTATTTCGATTTAATTCAATTATTAATGATATTGTTGTTAATTTAGCAAATTCTAATTTTTCACGTGATTGACTAATTAACCACCAATAATTTAAAAATTGATTAATTAAATTTAAACATATATCATATTTATGTTTTTCATAATAATAATCAATTAATAAAATAGTACATGAACAAGAAAATGAAAATGGATATTTATAATAGGGATATTTTAAAATTGTTTGAATTGATTCATCAATAATTGTTTGATTATCAACTCTTTTACCAATTTTATATCGTAATACAAAAAATTGACATATTAAATATTCAAGTGAATAAATATTATACATGGAATCTTGAATAGCCATCAATTGAATAATAGATGGACGTTTCTAAAAATAGATAAAACATATTTTATTCAAACAAAAAAACAACAACAACAAAAACATTATAAATTATAAAGAAAAAAATTTTTTATTTTCTATATTACTCGATATGGTTGAACATTGATACGTGATTTTTCATCTAAATTTGCTACTTGATCCATAGATGATGGTTTAGAATAATTATTTAATTGTTTACGATTTGATGAAATTGGACTAGTATTACTAAAATCTATAGATTTTATTTGAGAAAATATTTTTTTTTCCAATTTTTCTTGTTCACCTAATTGATTTAATGTTGATTTTTGTTCTTTAATTTCATTATATAATTGATTTAAACTATTTAAACTATTATCAAGTAATTTTTTTGCATCAGCTATAAAACGTGTACGATATAAAACTGTTGCCTCTAATAAATCAAAATTAAGATGATAATAAGTATGTTTATTTGCTAATTTTCGTCCATTTTCAATTTCAATTAATACTCGTTGTAAACAATTACATTTTAATAATAACTGACATATTTTTATTTTATAATATAAAACTTCATCAATTTTATTCAGTATTAAATAATGATCAACAAGATGAATATATATGGTTAATAATTGATCATCACATTCACATGCACGTAAATCTGACCATTGAAAATCAGTTTGTTGAAAATATTTTAATAATTCATTAAAATCACAATCATTTGATAACATTTCATTTTGACTGGAAATTATTATACGATGTTTTGAACCAGATTTTGTTAATGGTACTTCATTCGATTGATTACGATAATATGAGTGAATTGTCAATAGTTTATAGCGTTCATAAGCTAAAACAAAAAAAAAGTTTGTCAACATTGCTTTTATGAAGCAAAAATGTGAAAAATTCCTATTGAACTGTTGAACTATAATATAGAAGATGTATTGATATATCTGAATAATTTTTAAAATTTATATCGAACAACATTAGATCGATAATGCACTGTCTGTTACTAATCCATTCAGTAGCTGTAAACATACATTTTAGCAGTTGTAAACATCAAATTTATATTGAAATTTGGTCAATCACAATTTCATCCCGAAAGTTTACAGCTACTGACAAAAACCCCTCTACAAATCACAAAAATCCTCATATATAAACTTTATACTTCAAACATCCTTTTCCTTCAGAAAACGGACAAGTCCTAGAAAGTATTCACAAAAGAAAGTATTATTAATCATTATATTTTAAGAAATAATAAAGATAAAATAGTCTATTTTCATAGTGTTCCAATTTTAACTTACATTCAAATGTTAGAAATGTCTTTGATTCATCATATAATTGTTGGAATAGTGAAAATGTTGCCTGTTGTTGTTGTTGTTCTAATAACTGAAAATGTGTTTGTAATTTTTGTTTAATATCATAAAATAAATCTTCATTATCAAAATTTGGTACACTATTTTCAGCACGATATTTTTTTGCTAATTCACATACAGCATGTCGTACATTTTTCCATTTTGATGATTTATCATTCTCGACAGTAGTACATTTTCCATTCATTTTATTATTATTCTAAATTAAAATGAATAATTGAGATTATAGAATAAAAATTTCATATTTAACTATCAGAGATAATAAAATAATAAAAAAAATGTTTTACTTACCGTTTTATCATTATCATTTATTTCATCTTCATTAATGTATTCTCTATCAAGTATTGTTGATGACACTAAATCAGTTTTATTCTGTTTATCTTTATTATTAATTTTATCATCATGTATATTTTCTAAAGATGATGTTGGCAATAAAGTACAACAAATAAATCGAAGTATTGTAACGAGAACTTGAAGTTTCTGTGTACTAGTTTCCTTTCTGCGTTTTGTTATCCATTTTGTATCATTTTTTTTTGAAATTTTTCGATTTTTAGCATTATTTTCACCTATTGAACCTGTTACTGGTGATGTTTCTGGTACACCTTTTCGATATTCGAATATAGGCAGTGTTGAATGTAATAATTCTTTTGACGGTGACATTGGTGACGCTAAGGATGGATTTGATTTGTGTACGGTAATTTTCATATGATCCTGATCCAACGATGATGATCGTGATGCAAAACGTATTAAAGTTAAATTATCATTTTTAGATTCTGATTGAGTGTTCACTTTTGGCATTAAAATAGGTGTTCGTGGTGATTCGATTTGAATTTCTTTTTCTTTTTCTTGTTCTTCTACAGCTGTCATCTCACTTGGTCTAAAGAAAACATGTCATAAATTAATCAGTATATATTTTTTTGTGCGTTAATCTCTTAATAATCGGAGAGATAAGGGTACCCTCCTCCCTCTTTTTGAAGTTTTTCCTTCAATGCCTAAAGAACCTCAATTTTTTTGGATTCATAAACTTTTCTCTCAGTTTTTTGTACATTCAAACTTTTCTTACACATAGTCTGCTAGAAGAAAGTACTTTCTTCACAATGAGACGTCTCTCAGAATTTTCCGATGAGTTTTTGTGGAGATATAAATATTGCGGCAAATACCCTGAAAAAGTGGCCTCTGTACAAAATACGTTTTTTTCTCGAAAACTATTTTTTTTCGGGGTTCATTGGACCACATTACGACCCCCCTTAAATTTCATTCGATCGAGTTAAAAATTTGATCAGAGGTACTAAAGCTCATTGCGCAGAGATATAATTTTAGAATTTTCTTTTAGATCTTTCTTTACTGAGTTATAGGGTTTCTAAAACTTAAAAACTTGGTTTTTGAAAGTTTTTCGGTATTTTTCCTATAACTCGGTAAAGAAAGGTCTAAAAGAAAATTCCAAAATTATGCGTCTGCGCAATGACCTTGAGTACCTCTGATCAAATTTTTAACTCGATCGAATGAAATTTAAGGAGGGGGGAGTGTAATGTGGTTCAATCAAAAACCGGGTTTTCTGGTAAACTAGTGAACGATAATAGTTAAAAACTTGAAACAAAAATGAAAAAGTACTCTATTGAGGTTCCAAACAGTTCGGAAAATATGAAGCGTTAGTGAGTTTCAGTTTTTATTTCACAGCATTTCTACGAAAAGCTGAAAATGAGGAAAGAGGTATTCTTAAGTGATGATGGATCTGGTTTTATTTATTTAAGATCGTATTAAAGACTCAGAAACGTTAGTACCTAATTAAGTTTAAAGTTATTTCGGTACTATATGCAAATGTTTCGAATGATTATATCGAATCGAATGATTATATTAGTTTCACATGTTGAAGCATATAAAAACTTACTTTATACTAAAAGTTCCTTTATTATCTGAAGCACTTTTACTTCTACATCTATTCTGTGAATTAGGTATTAATGGATCGCTGACAGATCTTGGATTAATTTTTGTATCATCTTGATTTGAATAAGAGGTCGATAGTGAATGGAGCAGGGATAGTTTTACATGTGTTAAAGATGTATTTTTTTCTGGTTCACTTGTGCCACGTTGTCTCAATTGTTTGGTAATATCATTATCGATTTTTTTTAATGCAATTAATGTTACAATGTTGAAAAGTGATTGTTGATTATGTTGTAAAAATTGTGTTAAATCATGACAAATTAAAAACGGTGTATCACCACCACCACATCCCCGACATAATGGGTTGCATTCTTCGAGATAGGATGCTGCTTTTTCATGTAATATTTGTTTTGTTTTTTCTGTTAATGTATCATAAATGACATCACGAATTGTGGGATGAGTAAAAGACATCATTTTACACATAAATGCCATACCAGATAGATTATTCAAACAATAACATTTCATTGGATGATTACCATTTAATGTCGAATTATCTGTAGAATTTTGGTACTGTTTTTGTTGTTGTTGTTGTTTATATAGGATATTTGCGGTCTTTCGTTTCATTGCACACTCAATAATTGAACGTTGCATCATTTCAACTAAACATTCATTAATATTCATCGATTGTTTCGCATTTGTATCAAGTAATGCTAATAAAAAATTTCTATAAAAAGAAAATTAGTTATAATAAGATATATTTTCTGTATAGATTTGACAATTGATTGTAAATAAAATTCAAAACTTGAATTTAAAAGGAAGTATTATTTTGACATAAAATTAATCTGAGTATCTTGAAACATTTTATTACCTCGAAAATGTAACACCAGCAACAGATGCAATTTTAGCCAATAAACTTTCACCTTCGGATAAACGATCAATACGACAGAGAATATAATCTTGAAAATCTTGTTGTATATCGGTGTCTAACGTCTCACTATTTCTTACTAAACATACACGTTGTAGAGGATCAATTTTGTTATTTATATCAATAATTCTAACTGCTACTTTTTTATCTGAACTATTTGTTGTTGACGATGATTGATGATGATGATGATGATGAAATATATTTTTTAATAATCCATTTTGTTTTGATATTGTTAATAGTTGTGGATCACCATTAATTAATTCATTTTCTTGTTCTTGAATTTTTTCACGTTCAGTTTCATTGACAATATATATTTTATCTTTACGAAGGAGGTCATATAACATTTGTTCACACAAACCTGGTATACCATTGCAACGATCACTCAATAATTTGATCAGTTTTACTGGTAATCGATGAACAAGAAGAATTTGACACCCTGAATTAGATTTAAAAACAAAAAAAATATGAAAATGTAAGATGAAATTGTTAATGTTAAAATTACCTAATGTTGTTAAATAATGATTTTCTAAAGACGTTAATCTTCGACGATAAACACGAAAATCTGAAACAAAACAACTCTGTAGATCAAATTTATACTAGATTTATAATAATTTGAAAATTTTGTTATTTATAGAATGTCTGTCTTAGAAATACAATTAATATTTTTAATTTTTTTATTGTTCACAAAACAACAAAAAAGTGAAGAGAAGCTCTGAGTTTATGCATGGTCAAAGAATAAGAGATGAGGTAATAGAACTGAGTGGACTGTTAGAGAGTACAGAAGAGATCGGATATGTTACGAAGGAGGCACATATGATATTCTTGAACGTGCTTCTAATGATGGAAAAAGTACATGAGGTTTATAGTGATATAGGACACATTCATCTTATCAATGTGTTTTTTAACACATAAGAAACTGAAAAGTAGTCCAATACAGAAATCCCTAACATCCAAACTTCAGTATGTTTTATCAAACCATCTGCTTGCTACAAAGTTTACCTGTTATGATGGATGCTAATGTTTTTATCGTTCGATCTGTACTGCGTAATGGTTTTAATGACATAATGACTAACGAATGACTATGACTTCCTAATGTTAATAGATGTTTTAGTGAACTTTCATCAGCAAAATGCACATCGTCAATAATAAACAAAATTTTTGATACTGTATCAATTGGTAAAAGTGTTGATGATGAATTTTTCTTGTGATACAAATGGCTAAATGAAACGAAAAAGATGAATAATTAAAACACACAAAAAGATATAAAAGGATCGTCTTTTGCAATCGTGAACTATGTTCCAAGCAGATCGAGTTAACCATCAGATTATACTATCATATGACTACATTACAAAACATCGAAGGGGTCAAAGAGTGTGAATAATATACCTTGTTATATTCGTTGTTGAAGAAACGTGGGTTTTCATATAGTTTTCATTAACTGAGGATGAGTCAATTAGTTTACTCAGAATGTGGAGTAATAGTTCGTTAACACGTTCTTCATAAGTTTGCATGAAATTTCGGCTTGATGTTTTATCATTGTCGTTCGTGCCTGTTGTTATATCCATTTGCCGATTAAATCTCACATCGAGTACATCGTTTAACAAAAATAAATGTTTTCTCAATAAAGAATCACCTGATTTAGATACATCAAATAATTTCAATAAAAAATGTTCTTTTTCATAACATGTTTTGTCATTAAAATGTAATAAATCTTTTAATATGGTTCGTAATAAGGAATATTCCGAATAACGTTGTTCACAACAAACACGCTGATGTATAACTCGTGTAATTCGAGTATTAGTTGAACAACACGAACAACAATAATTGAGCGACGATGACGATGGATCTGTGACATTATCATTTGACACTGTTGTATAATTAGCATTTGAATTTTTTGAAGTATAATGATCATAATGATTCGAACTTAAACTAGTATTCGTATTCTCAAACGTATCCGCCAAGTATTGTAAAAGACGCGTTCTACCAATTCCATCATCACCTTCAAATATAATTGCTGATAATGATCGATGTTTTTCTTTGTATGATGCAGATTCATCTAATAAACTCATTTGTGATGCAACAATCATCAATTCAATTCTTCGTCCTAACAATGGATAACAATGTCTATGATAACCATCGTAACACACAATTTCTTGTTCATTCATATTCTGGTTTGTGACAGTATCCGATGTGGAAACTGTACTTCGTCGACTCTTCTCAGAATAATCACCATACTTCCAAATAACACCAACATTCGTCATACCTTTAAGTTGTTTATCGGGAAGTGGTTGAAAATGTTTTAAATTTAACCTTGAATTGTAGTATGTTTCATTATCACAGCTAACAACATCCGGATAATTACACATTAAACGTGCAGCCATGTTTACTTTTCGTCCAATAACTGTATATTCACATCGTTCAATATGACCAACAACACCACAATATGTTAACCCCGTTGCCACCTACCTCAAAAAAATAGAAAAAAAGAAAGATAAAGACATTCTATCATTCCCTCTCTGGAATTAGTAAATTTTCTCACAACTAAGTCAGCACTTACGCCAATAGAACATTTCATTACAAATGCATAGTCTTCGTGTTGTTTTAGATCACTGTGAATTTGATATGCACATTTCAATGCGTTTGCTGAGTCATCATCACTTTTGTAGCCAGGTAATCCAAATACACATAAAAAACTCCATCCTTTATCAAAAAGAAGAGCTTTGGTAAGAACACCTCCCTTCATCTTTGTTGTTTGAAATATTTTAAGAAATACACTTTGAACTTTTAAACATAAATCTGTTTGATTATCATCACATACATCCAAATGAATAAATGATATTGTTACACGTCTTAGCTCGGATAAATACTCTAATGTTTGATTATGTTCAATCTTTAGAAGGACACAGCGAATTATGAATGTTTTTATCAATGATTCTAAATTTGCCATGGATTCACTCGATGAATGTCGACGATGTTGAAAATGGAATTTCTGATTTTGCACAGTATCATCATTTATCTTTAATAGTTCATTGGTTATTGAATTACATAATTCATCGGTCTTAAACTATAAAAAACAGATAGAATTCAACTCATATGTCAAATTAGTATGAACTTTTTTGTCATGATTTTATAGGGACACAAACCACGATGAGCAGGCAAATACGTTTAGAGAAATACACTCAGTTTAAAATGTAGTTTTCCTTTTTCATCTACTTCGTATATAAAACTTCTGCTTCAAGAATAAAACTGACGAAGAGTTTTAACTATTGACGTATCGAGATAAAAGCCTGATAAGATTGTTTACCGTCTCAGGCGATTGTAATTGTATCGAATTAGACGAATTCCGTCTACTGTCATTATCATCCATTAGATCAACTGATGTTCGCCATGAAATATTGTCATCATCATCATTCATTATATCTTTGTTATCGCCATCGTTAATAACATCATTCGACACATTAATAGTGTCAATTAATTTATCATATTTAACAGACATATTTCCTTTACTTCCGTTTGAAACAAGATCATATTTATCGGATAACTTTGTTGACAACGATAACTTTTCATACATTGATTTTGCAATAATGATATCACCCGGTACACATTCATGTTCACATTCAGTCACTTCTCTAACTACATCACCTATCATTATATAGTGTTTAAATTCATCATTTCCCACAAATATTATACTTACTGGACCATATGCTAAAGCCACTTTAACACGTAAAACAACGTCCACATCTGTCTGATATTCTCCACATTTTGCTTGTAAATTTATAGCACAATTCAACGCTTTTTCGCACATTAATAACAAATTATCTTCATTTTCGTCACAATCGTCAATTGATGTTTGCCATAATGCTAATATTGCATCTCCAGCAAATTTATATATGTCACCATCTGAATCAAGTATTTCTAACACCAGTTTATCAAAATAAACATTCAACGTACGTGTTAATTGATTAATACCTTTATGTGCATGATGACTATAGGTTTCAGTTAATGCTGTAAAACCGCATACATCAAGAAATAATAATATTCCACAATATTTACGTTCACTTGGTACACGTAATCCATGTAAATTATTAAATACAGAATTTGGAATATGAGCAATTAGTTGTTCCGTTGACGGTTCGGTTAATTGAAGGCTGGCCAGGGCTAATCTTAATGTATTAGCCGCTAAATACGTTGTTGGGCTACCTGAAATAGGGACATTAGGTTTTTGATTATGAAAAAATATTCGTCGTCTTTTTTGACGACGATGAAACGATGCGTCGACGTGGGAGGGACTGTTGCGAAATAAATTTTTTTTTACTGTACAGCTTGTTGTCGTCTGATGTAATAACGAATTACTGAGGAGTAAGACGTTTATATGATTATTTGCATGAATAGGTTGAGAAAAAAATGAATGAGGGGAAAGCGAGTTAATAATGGGCGGATATTTTTCATCATTATTAAAAGATAAATTCTTATCGTTGTTGTGTGTTGTATCACTTGATGTATAGTTATCGATAATTAATGATTGAAAGTTGGCACTATTATTGGTATTACCGTGTTGTTGATTAATATCTGCGGCATCATCTTGTGATGACTGCATGAATGACGAATATTCAGATATAAATATACGTGAGTGTATACATCATCAAAAGAAAAATGCAATATACTGTTCTCTTGAGAATATATGTATAATTAAAAAAACAAGTATATAGACAGATATTATTACCATTTGAATATTCAGAATAGTTTTATCTAAAAAATACATATAACAGTTACATGTTTGAATGACAATATAAAATGTCACAAAATGTATTTAGAGGACGGACTGTATCACTTTTTAAGAGTAGGTTAATAGTTGATGAAATGTGTTGTCTTGTTGATTAGGTATGAATATACGTACACGGAAAGAATGTCGACAGTTCAAACAAGTGAATCTATAATGTTCAGTGGAAATGGTTTACAAAAAATTCATGATCTATTATATCACGTATCAACGGAGATTATTACTTTCAGAAAAAAAGGAAATGTAGATTAAATGCAAAAATATGACGTCAAGTTACAGTAATTCGAATCTATTCTGACCTTTCAAAACCTTTTTTTTAGTATCGTGCATAATATTTCTTGACTTTAGCGAACAGACTGCATAATCGTTTGTAGAAAGAAGCAAATGTTGACATAAAGTAGTCAAAAAGTGTAAATTTTGAAAGCCAAAATAAATATCCCTGAAGGCATGCATGCATTGTTCGCAGAATGTTCAAAAAGAAAGTATTTTAGAAAATGTTTGGAGGAAAGTGTCTCCACAACTCGTCAAGCACATTGGACAACTTGCGCCGTTTTAAGTATACGCTTCTACATATCTATTGACGAACTATATAATTATTTGTCTAAGCAAAGAGAAGAAAGTCTTCATCTGACTTAGAAACGCACATTTTTCGATAAGGTTTAGCATTTCTAGTCATGTTTTTCTCCAGAAACTCATATTCTGTATCCAATAAAAGTTTATTCGGGCAATAAATTTCAAATGTTATATTAAACAAAATGATCCGTTAGATTACTCTACTATTCTTTTTATTATAAAATTCAATATTTTTTTCTGTGTATATATATTCTCACTTACGTTCACACAAAATATTTGATGTAAAAGATAAGGCTAAAAAAGAAACACTATCTTTTGTTTTCTAATTTATTATTTGTATTATTACTATATCATTAACATCCGTATATTTTCAAGGAAAAAGCGAAATATCAAGAATGCCCCCTATTTCTGTTTTGTAATGCGAGAGTCTCTCTCTTTCATATATGCACATCTACTGATCATAAAAACTTTACATATTTTCACGAATGCTATACCTAAAAAGAGAGAGAGAAAAAAAAAATAACGACAAAAACATTGCTTCGTATGGATATGAAAAATGGAATATCTAAGCTATTATCACCCTCATCAATTATTTATGCACATGATTGTTTCTCTAGAAATATAAAAAAAGGCAAAAGTCGCTTGTTTTCCAACTAACGTTTACCACGCAGATTGTATATAATATTTTGTACAGGTGCTGATGACAAGAAAATATCTTTCTTCTTTACTCTACTTAATATGACGATACGAACTTTTTGACGATAACTGACACAGTAAATACTAACAATAGACGAGTACACAGGTAGTGAAGACTTTTTTTACGCTTTTAAAAGGCTTGCTTTGTTTTACTTTTTTTCCTGTCTTAGAGGCTCGCATGCTTCTAATAATCTGTGTAAACAATAAAAAATAATTTAAATCTTCTGGGAATTATTTCTAATTACAACAGAATAATTTTGTTGTTTTTTTTATTCCTTCTAAAAATACAGTCTACTCTTATTTACCCAGATGAAAGAGATTTGTAATCTTAATAGAAGAAAGATTGTGCAATTTTAATCTGTTCACAGGAACCCTCAGAAATCACACTTCATCAGTGATTCTTGCTAATAAGCTTTTAAAAGCATATTGCTCTTGAAGTGAACTATTTTCTTTACTTCAATTCTTATGAACTGTGTTATGAGGGACAAAAAAAATAGATTTATTGACAGGTTCTTATCGTCAAAATAAAACATGTGGCTATCATATTTCGTTTCGTAGTAGAAAGCAGTATGGTCACCATAGTATTGCTCAGTCATTTTTCAAGTCAATCCTAGATCATGCAGCGTAAGTCAATATCTTTTTGTAAGTTTCAATCGAGAAGAGTTTTGAAATTAGCTTCTAGTCAGAGAAAAACAAAGATGAGATCTACAAATGCCAAATTTTCAGATTATTCAACTTCGAGTATGTATCATGACGTAACAAAGAAAATTTACTATATTAGATTAGATTACCATATTCGTAAATATGATTTAAGAATATGATAATCTATCGTTCTTAAAACTTTGTTTATGATTAGATGCACGGTGTAGAAAAAAAGCTATCCGATCGATATTCTAAAGATCATTGAAACTTACTTATAAGCGCTTATCTTAGAAAATCGCTTTTTTTATTGATGTCTATGATAATTGAAGAGAAAGAGCTATTTTTAGAATCTTTCTCTTCGGTAAAAACATCAATATATTTCTTAATCGGATGAAAACCTATAGTGGCGTCCAGTTTTCTCATCTATATGTCATTTGATAAATCTAGAGGACTTGTTTTATTGACTATTTACAGAAAATTTTTCCGAAGTATTCTCTAGTGTTAAGTCTTGTTTTAGGACAGTTCAAATTGGCAGTTAATTGTAATAATGATCCTTGATCATAAATTTGTTTTGATTTGTTGAATTCCGAAGAGTAAAAGAAGCAGAAAAAGGAAAAAGACGAGAGGCACACGATGAATCACTTAATATCCCATCCGAGATAAAATAAAATAACGAAAATTTCTTCAAACATCAACAACAACAAGAACAAACAATTAGAAACAAAAGTTCTTTCATTTGAAATATTAGAACTACATCCTCGGTTTTGTAGGGTATATTGTTATTAACTGTACAAGACTAATCGTTAATACTCGTACCAAAAGTCTCTTACCTATTACTATTTTTGTAAAGAGTCATACATTTTAATCATCTTGTTATTCAATACAATATTTTGTCCATATATTGCGTGATTTATCCTCTAAAATGTTTTAAACTTGGTAATTATTTACAAACATACTCTTAGGGATCTTATACGTATGTATCCAGGTTTGAATCGTTTTCACGAATCATAGGTTGCCTGCGTAAAACCATTAGCACTAAAATAATCATCATCATTATTCACCTTGATTTCCATTTCTGATTATTCTTTAACCAAGAGAAAAAAATCGAGAGTCAAATCCACATCTTTTTCTATTATGATAAAATAATAATAATCATCGATCTATGTCTTGAACTAAATAAAAAGAAAGACTAAAAACATTATTCCAGTTAACATCAACATGTCACGAAAAACATCATGCCATGAGCTTTGCACAGACAGGTGTTTCTCCACTCTGTTTATTGTTTTTACTGTTGTATGATAGACTATAGTTAACATTGATGAATTATATAGATAAACCAGCTTTTACTATTGTTAAAACATTTAAATTAACAATACTGTCTACATAGTCTATTATGAACTGATCTAATAGACTTTCTATATTTTCTAATGGATCCGTATTTCAAATAACTAGTATAAAAAAACTTAGTTAACATGTTAAATTAGCACATTCAACCTCGTAACTTTAATATTAAGAAATCTAAACTCCATAATTGAAATGTATGATGTCACAGAAAAGTTCAATTCTTGTCTCAGCATATTGGAGTGCTACACAGGGCTCCGTTCGATAATCAGACGTAAATACTGTGGTTCTTTTCAATTTTCAAAATAACGATATCTACATACTTTTTCCAAAATTTAGAACAACAGAATCTAATGCAAACAGCAATGAAAAAGTATGAAATCAAGAGTTTTGTGGAAAAATGGGCAATATAATGCAAAATTTATGTTTTTTTCTTGTTCGATTTTCTCAAAATGTTCTCAAATCAGCTACGCAACTTCTGCACGACTGACCTTTACTATAGAAAAAATATGCCAGTATTTTCTACATCTTAAATTAGCTAAACAACTGTTTGTCATAGGGTATCAATTTTTTTGGTCACCAAAAAAAGATACTTTTGATCACCAAATTCTTTAGATACAAATGATCACCAAATAAAGATATTTTTGATCACCAAACAGCTTTAGATACGTTTGATCACCAAATTTTTCAGCATGCATTTCACATTTTAGACAGGATTGTTGCCACACCAGAAAACCATTGAATATAACCCACCGACGAGAAGGATACATATCTAGCCAATGATACATTCAATAGTTTTCTAGTGTGGCAACAATCCTGTTCGCTTGTTGTACTATTATTAGTATTTTCGTGTAAACATTCTGTTGGATTAGTAATTTTATTTAACTTGTATCAAGTTAGCGATAAAACGATAAAAATGTGAAATGCATGCTGAAAAATTTGGTGATCAAAAGTACATTTACTCTTTGTCATAAATCTTTTTAACTTACTAACTGAAGTATTTTAAATACGGCGGCTATCTGACCATTCATGACACATTTGTCAATCTGAATTGAGGATGAATACGTTACTAAAAGAATGTTGCAGCTAATTACACTCATCACTATTAAAGTGTTTTTAAATAAACTTTATCAGCATAGATTATGTACGTCTAAAGTTGAAACTCCAACATATATGTAGTAATCACTGTTGACTATAAAACTAAATCCGCTATTATTTGGGAATATATATAATTGTATATCCCTATGAACGAAGGAAGGTAAGAGTTAACAAACCCTGAAATATCGGTTTGTCATCCATACTTACGCTCCGACTCTTTTCGAGAAGCTTTAAAACCTGTCACATCTAAATTTCACAAAATTGCACTATTTTTTGAGAAAAAAGATTTAATTGCCTATATGGCTATGCGTGCGTCATACCCGTTCGTGTACGAGTGAAGTGGGAGGAAGGATAAAGGATAAAAAACACCGTTCGTTTTCTATAAATCTACATTCTTTCTTTTTATACTAAAAGATACACATCAGCAGCTCAGCAAAACATATATCAGAAGAACAGATCACCAATCA